TCCGCAGACTTCAGACCAGTTTCACTTATCCTTTTAGAGACATGAGCTTTGATCATCCGTAATGGATTCTTTCTGACTGCTTGTCAACCTGAAAATTAAAATGGCTGGTTGAGAAAGCACAACAACTGCTGTGGCAAGGAGAGATTAATCATTTGTTCTGACTAATGAAGACATCATCACTAGTGTAAATCAAACCAGTTGGTTATCATTAAACCACTGACATTTTCCTTAAAAATCAAAATGTCTTTGTCCACAAAAGCAAAGGCAAGCATACAAATTTCAGTATATTTATTTTACTAACAGCAAAACTAAAATTATTTCCTTTCCTTTGCAAGCACAGGCCTGCACATAGATGAAATCAACAGACTTTGCACATTCTATGGTAAGATAAACAAAGATACAAAATGAAGAGATAAAACGGACTTGTATTCATGAATGCTAAGTTATTCCAATATTTAAATTAATTACATGGTTAAAGAGTGATTGCCTCTTTTTATCTTCTAGTAACTACAAACCAGAAAAGAGATCAAGAAACACAGCTGGGCATTTATTAATTCTATTCTTCCCTCTACAATTAAACTTTAATCAGTTTCAAAGAACATTTGGGTTCTGTCCAATGCAGTTGCCATGCTTAAAGCAGTGATTAAACAAAAAGATATGAACATTACCTGTAGCAGCATTGTGGGGGAAATTTGCTCTGTGGAAGAGAAATACTTTGAAGCAAAAGAAGCAAATGTTTTTACACAGTGGGTAATATACAAAATTAGTTATAATTGATGCTTCTACAAATAGAGGACCAGTTTTCATTTTTGGAAAGCAACATCTGTGAAATTTTATTTAAATATTTTACCTAATCTGAGCAGTCTTTAGAAAAATCAAGCACCAGAATTCCTTAACATAAGCCCTTGACTGGGATTCATCATAAATAGCCCTTGGAAGCTTAAAAACTGATGTAAAACTTGTACAGTCAAAATCAAGGCTTCATCAAAAGTACCAGGTCTTTAAACACAATGTTTATGAAAAGGTCCAAACCCTTTTTTCTCAAAATGAAAGAGCAGCAGCAACGAAAAGCGGCACAGTTTCCTCCTTCCTGCAGACAAAGCGCCGGATGTCAGTGGTTGCACAGATCACTCTTTGCCTTGAGCTGGGCAGCAGAATCTGTCTGCCTTCCCCTGGAGCTGAAATGCAATGCAGAAAGGAAGGATCTGTAATCATGGTACTGCAAAACATTAATATCTGCCAGGCCACGAGAAGTTATGTCTGCCTTGGACATCAAATTAGATCAATTACCCATCTGAGGTGAACACGTGGAAGAACATATATAGAGCAATGAGCAACAGTTAGTCTCCTAAGGGTTTCAGGAAGGAAACTGATCAGTAACACAGAGATTTCATCTCTAACAGTACTACAATTTGAAGAACTTTTACCCTTAATGAGATTTAAAAGCCCCAAACAAATAAGAATGCCCACTTAACGAGACAGTTATCTGTCTGGGCCAGCAGATACAGGGAATGGAGCCTTAAACCTTGGCCAGCTGCCCTTGACCAAGGGTGCTGGGAGCCTTTGTTGCAGGCTGTGCATGATGAGGGAGGGTCAAGCACACTTTTAGCTGGTGCTATGCAGAAGCCTTAATAAGAGCCACACCCAGAGCACAGATCCAAGGGCAGCAGTTTGGGCAGAAGAGTGTAAAGAAGGGGTCCTCCTCTGAGTTCAGACCAGCCTAAATGTTCTTGGGTATGGTGGTGACGTGCCACAGGGCATATTGCCCAGCAGGTGTTGGAGCAGCTGTCCCTGCCAGGACAGAAGATACAACATAGGTTCATTGCCCTCAAGGCTTAGGAAACTGGTCGTGATTTCAAGAGAACCATCTGGGCCAACTGACCCTGAACCATGGAAGACCACCATGAGGAGGCAGTGAGTGACAGTAGCGCGCAACTCCCTGTGTCAGGGGACAGAGGCACCCACGTGCTGACCTGACCTGTTGTCTAAAGAAGTTTGCTGCTTGCTGGGGGCCCAGATCTGGGATGTTTTTGGGAGACTGCCAAGGCTTGTCTGACCCTCTGACTATACCCCCTGCTGTCCTTACATGTGGGCATCGGTGACACTGCTGGGGCAACCTGGAGAGTATCAAAGGAGACTACAGAGCTCTGGGAGTGACAGCTAGGGGCATAGGGACCCAGGTGATGTTCTCTTCAGCCCTGCTAGCATAAAAAAAGAACAAGGTCACTGATAATGCGTATCAGTGTTTGGTTGTGGAGCTGGTGTCAGCAACAGGATTTTGGTTTCTATGGCATAGGACCCTGTTTGAGGTTCAACATCTGCTTGAGCAGGGGGATTGGGCCAGATGACCTCCAGAGGTCCCTTCTGACCTCAGCCAGGCTCTGATTTCTGTGAGGCTACAACAGTAAGTACAGCAGATATTTATCTGATCCCAGGTGAAGGATGGCAATTTTCTGCAAATTTTGGCTAAAGCTACTACTGGCAAAATATGAGACCTAGAATACAGTCCTGATACAACATATTGCCGGAGAAGGTTTGTATTTAGATTATAATATAAATGAGAAAAAATTTTAGAACTCAGACTCAATAGCCAGCAGTTATGACCAAGGCTGGACAGTTAGTCAGACTCTAGTTTCTGGAGGGATACATAATTCTCTGCCAGTCATGGCTTGCTCTATGGGACATGGAAGAGCAAATGCTGCTTCTCCCTCCTCTAAAGTGCCCCACACCAACCCCTTCTGCTCTGGTTCCTCTCTCCTTTGCTGGAGGAGTTTTATGCCATTCACAGGAGAGCAGCTGAGCAGAAACCGGCAGAAATCTGCTGCCTGCCACCACTGCCCCTCTATACATGAGTGACGGAGGTGCACCATGCCTCCTGTCTCACTGACCTGGGGATGTGCCAGAGTCATTAGGCTACAGTCAGTAAATGATAGTGAAAGCAAAAAGGTTTAGCTGGGATAAATGGCCCTTGCTTCCCCCATGTTTAATGCTGAAGGTAACAAAGAATCAACATGAAAACAGAGCTGTTAGTTGCCCTCTGTCACTGGTGTGAGTCAGGCACAACTCCTCAGAGGCTGGTAAAATTACATGGCTATAAATCACAGTAGACAAGTAAAGAATATTCTCCCAGTAGAAATAATTGGGAAGGGAAAGTAATTTCATATCAAAGCAAAAGCAAAAAACCCCTTACCTCTTTGGATACAGGGCTATCTGATTATTTTGATTCCAGTAAAAATCTGGTGCCAGTTCTATCTTATTTTAGAATAGAACAAAGTCAGTTGAGAATGTTTTGAGTGAGCTGGTCAAAAATAGTGAAACACATCAAGATACCAATTTATACTCAGACTCTGGCAAAATATAAATAATGAATTTTATGTCTAATTACTACACTCAGTGCCACAGAAATTAGAAACTTAGTCAGTAGCAAACCATTTGCTTAACTTGGTGCTGCGTATTTTCTATCAGACTGTTGTGGGCTTCTTTTCTTCCCCTACTTTGGTTACACTATATAGCTCCCTTTGGAATTCTCAGATTAATTTGATTTAGTTTATAGTTAGTACGTGAATGGTTCATAGTCCATGGGGTCTAGCTTTCCCTTTCATAAATAATTCTTTTTTTTATGGTGCAGTTAGGATGCTGTGTATTTTTGCAATGCACCTCAGAGGTAAACGTGACAAATGGGACATATTAAAAGTTATGTTACTGTTCTTCTCTGACACAAGCAGAACCTGAAGAATCCAGAATCAGGATTATGATGTTGCTTCTGAATATATTCAGTTCAAAGTTTCTACTATGTAACATACTTTTCATGCTGATGTTTTACTGGGTCATTTCATTTGTTCTTGATGTTCACCTCTGCCTAGGGGCTTCTCAGTATCAGTCTTTTCATCTATGCAAGCATGGATCAATACATGCATTTTTTTAAGAATCTGAAGTTTTTTCTGTGAATGTTAACAGGTGTGTAAAAAATGTATACAGATATTTATGATGTATTCAGATCACTACCAAAACAGAATTTACAGCAAACAATAAGAATGAGAGAGTGATTGTAACTTATAATGACTGTATAAAAGGTGATGAGATGTAGTTTGTTTGGTTTTTTGTTTGTGTTTTTTTTTTTTTTTTAGTCTAATGAATATTTTTATTCTTCTGCCTCTATGAAAAGATGTATAACTGAGATATCCTCAAGGCACATGTAAACCATTGCACCAAACAATTTATTTTTTACATAAATTCAGAAAAAAAACCAATAAAAAACCCAGCTCCTTTACGTAAAGGAATACACACATACACAAACAAGCTCATTAATGGAACAATGTTGCACATCTATGTGAAAGGCTTTTCACCACCATGTTTTAAAGAACAAAGTCTGTAGAAGAATATAATTCTAGAGAAAGAGATGATTTGTTGCAGTACACAGGTATCAGTCATATTTTGGTAAAATATGAAAACCATTTCCTTCATTCCTCTGTCACATTGCAAGTGTTAATGTGAGGTCTTTTATTAAAAAATATTCCCATGGCCATACTGAAATTTCTGACTTCTATCCTCTTGCTTAGAAAAGTTACAGTCATAAAACCATGAAACAGAAACAGCATTGTATAAGAAAGGTAACCAATCACACATAATTAATATCAAGTATATTTTCTGACAATCTTTTTCATAATTCTGATGTATTTTCTCCTTAAATGAACAAGGTCTTGAACAATTTTAAATAACAGATAAAAAAATGTGCTTCAATCCATCTGCATGCTGTTAACAGCATGAAAGCAAGAAGATGAACTACAGTCAATGAATACATACATCATTTGCAATAATATGTTCAGCTTGTATACTGTTAGAAATTATAGGTTTGTGGAAACCATGAAATCACAAGTCATACCTTAAGAATTAAAATCACCACTAATAATTATACAGGAAAGTAAACACAGTCGATATAATTTGCTACAAAACTTAAATGTGCATTCACCTTATGAAGAATCAGAAATTCACAAGTGTTGATGCTTGTCTACTCTCATTACAACTTTACTTTCAGCTCACTCTCCAGGTGATCATAAGGGAATGAATGTGCAAAAGAAATGGAATTGTTTTGGGGTCAGATTTGCTTTGGCCCATGAGGTAGGAAGCAAATAGCAGTGATGTGTCACCTTTCCTGATCTCTCCCTCCTAGCAAGGGGCCCTTGCCTCATCCAGGGAAGCTCTCCAAGTTTCTAAGAGTTATATAACCTTTATTAGACATATTGATTGATTAAATAGCCTAATTTGTGGAGTACACTTTCTGAAGCTGCAGGCTTTCAGGATGAAATCTACCCCATCCAGCCCTCCCCTCACCCAAAAGTGAAGTAAGATTGCCTGTAAGGTCCTGTGTCTATCCAAACCATCAATACCAGAAACAGAATCTGAGGTCCTGGAAACACCTGTCACACTGGACTTCCCTGTCTATCTCCAGTCAACATTATTCAGCTGTCTCAGTCACCATTAGGTTATTTAGAAGGTGAGAATAATGTTGCCTTATGTCAGAATTGGTGCTAGGGCATAGAATACTTTTTTATGTGCAGCTTTGTAACTGTGGAAGTGGCGATCCTTGAGCTCTCACCTACACTCCGATGACAGAGAGTGAGCAGGTCCAGCCACATTTAGCAAACACTGTCTTGAAAACTTAACTCAGCAAAGAATAAAAAGCCTCGGGAGAGTCCACTGTTCATCTTAAAAGAGAATATTTCATTACACAGGCTCTGCTGGCTCCTTATCAATTGTTACTACATGACGAGTCTGATTCTACCCATTGAGCATCCCCTGAAGCTCAATATAAAGAAATGCCCCTATATTGCTATTGTACCCATGCGCTTTCAGAATGCATATCTTCATAATATCTTTTCTTATTTTATCTTTGTCACTGGCTGTTCTAGTATATGTGTACACTGTACAGGCATGTCCTTACAGTATTACCAGAGGCTTATGAATTCTACAAACAGCTTCCAATTTATTTCATTATACATTTTACATTTTTCTTGCATAAATGCAGAAAGAGAGCTCATGGACAAAAGAATGCCAGAGGACTCAAATGAGGACTTTACAGTGAGGGGAGGACCTGGAAATGGAAGGCTGGCTAATAGAGTATGCACACTCTCTTAATACACTCATTTAAATACTAAGGTTGAAGCCACATTGCCGGGAA